CGCAGTTCTAGCCAGGCTAGCCAGGAAGCGGTGTAGGTTTTTGTTCTGGAAGAAACTCTGAGATTGAAATTAAAGGATCATGCTTTTAACGTCTCCATCATAGCCATGGACAATTTGACATTACATATTACTCATACCCGGGAAGCTACTTCAGGTTGTGCTTCTCACTGAGACGATACCGATAATGGTGGGGTGGCCTGGAGGCCCGGGGGAAGCCCCCTCACTCCTCGACCCGCTCCTTCTTCGGGAACAGCACGATTATCCCCACGATCGCGGAGAGGATTAGAGCGGATGCTATGCTCATTGTCAGAATGACTATCTACTCATAGGCAAGGGCATTGGGGGGGCAACATACCCGGAATAATCCGATACGCCTCGATAAAACTCTCCTGCACGGCCAGCTGGATCCCGTGCGGCAGCGTGCTGGTGAAATTATAATCCTGGACGATATGCTCGATCAACTGTCGTCCAAAGTTAGTGGTCACACTTCATCCCGGCTATATACACAGTGGAAAGGAACCACATACCTCCCGCTTCCCTGCGACCTGCCCCAACCCCACGGCCACCCGCGCCCGAAACACCCGCTGCAGCGCGGCGGCGCTGACGCTCGTCCCCACGATCTGGCCCACCTGCTGCGCGAGGTGGTACACGGCGATGGCGCTGGCGAGCTGCTCCGCGGGCGCCCGGATCGTCAGCGCGATGAACTGCGCCGACAGAAAGAGGCCGCCGCCGATACCCCAGGGGAAGCAGTACAGGACTTCGAGGGGCTGGATGCCGTGCAGCCAGCGGAGGACCATGAGGGTTAGCGAGACAAGGGTGATGAGGAGGGCGATGAGGGAGAGTTTGCGGGATTGGAGGTTTCTGTTGGCGCGTTTTGTTAGGGTTGCTGCGGCGGGTGGTGTGGTAGGACTTGGTGGCTGCTCACCTGCTGAGGGCTTTGCCGGCGATGATGGACCCGGAGATCAGGCCTAGGGCTGCAGGCCAGATGCGGATCGCGATGGCGGAGTTGGAGAGGTGGTCAATTCGGTAGAGGTAGGCAGGTAGGTTGTTTAAGATCTGTGGGAGTGGTTTAGAGTCAATTTTGGGGGCGGGAATTGTGGTAGGGATCGGGGATAAACTCACGGTGGTGACGGTAGCGAAGTAGATGACCTGGCCACCGAAGATGGCCCCAAGCCCCGGGGAACAGACAATCGAAGGGGGGATAATGGGGTGCTTGGTCCCGAACCGCTCAATCAGCACAAATACCATGAGAAAGATCCCCGAGACAGCGAGCAAGGCTGGAGTCTGAGACGAGAGGTAGGCGATTCCCCCCTCGGTGGTCGCTAGGATGAAAGACGTGACCAGGATGAAAAAGCTGGCCACCCCACAGTAGTCAAAGTTCCACAGACTCAGGTGCTTGGTTGAATGTGTCTCAGTGGCCGGGGTAGTCGAGAACTGCCATTGCGCGAGAGCCAGACAGAGCATCGCGATGGGGGTTTGACCGATTAAAGACCTGAGCATCAGTGTCAGTCCAGTCACTGGAGTTGATTCAGCCCAAGGCCCAGAACCTACCATCTCCAGCCGACCAGGTCGGCGACTAGCGCTCCCAAGGGTCCTCCACAGCCCTGGCCGACGATCCCAGCTGCGATGATGTAGCTTCGCACTGATGCGACTTCCGTGATGTCGAACATTTCTTGGGGTCCCGTCAGCATCGCCCTGTATCCCCGGTATGACGAGAGTTACCGTTCACCAGAACCGACAGGAGATCGGTCATGCCTGCACCGCCCATTCCTGAGATCAAGCGACCCAAAACAAAGGGCCATAGGGTATCGGAGATGCCACTGTTGAGTCCAGCATGAGTTCAGGCCCATTTCCAATCACAGAGTCTCGATGAACGACGTACGAGATCAAACATCCAACCGCGAAGAGGCCGTACGCCGAAAGAAGGAATCGTCGACAACCGTAGATGTCGCTCAGAAAGCCATACTAGATCGAGTGCCGTCAGCCGTCATCCTTGGTATTGAAGTGGCAGAGGGCCACAAACCACCGGCAATGCGATGCAGAATCCCACATTGTAGATGACCAGCAGCAGCGACGCACTGGACGGCGAATGCAGCGACGAGGCGATCTCGCCTTGAGTTGCCAACAGTATGGACTTATCTGCGCTCGCGAGGAAGACACCTGCGGTGCGATCTCCAGTCAGCTTGAAGATTATCACGGATTCAGACATCACGCACCAACTAAGCCCGCCAAAATCCTACTGAAGTAGCCTTTGCCGGTCGGCGGACGGTCGCCTTTGCCTAACAACGGAGTCTGTTCATGCGCCATGCTGGTGTGAACTCGACGAAAGCCGAAACCATGAGAAACAGAAGTGAGCACAGACGGAATGACGTCCGAATTATCACTGCGCCGTCTGAGCTCCCAAGCTGAGTCGGGCAAGGCTCGGTCCCCTCAGCTCGGGCAGGGAAAGTTAGGGCACATCAACTCAATTGCACCTAAACGGAAAGGGGCAATGCACCGGACGATCGTCAAGCCACTTCATGCAGCCAAGACAATAGTTCATGATCATCGTGTCACAATCCTGTCACAATCGGTGTCACACTGTCAATCGGAGACACAAATCCTCCGATTGTTTACCGCTAAGGCAGACAGACCCACCGGGGGTGGATCGATCGCGATGCAGCTTGATGCAGCTTGACGACAGCCGATCCTCGATACATGCCGCATACGCCGTCAGAAACAAGAGGGCAAGTGCGATCTGCAGCAAAAGGGGCCGTGTCTGCACGCTGCAGAATCACTCACTCACTCACTCGGTATAATTCTATTATAAGCCCAAAGGGTCTGCTGACGGACGATCGTCATCTTTCACTTGACTGACTCTGTAGTATTATCCACAATTGGCCCTCCCAGATACCAAAAAAATGAATTTCCTGTCGCGGTCACTGACCACCCCGCAAGCGACGGCGGCAACAACCACGCCTTCGCCCGCCGTCGAGATTCTCAAGCAGTTCCAACAAGAACGCCCGGACATCAAATTCCTGCGCTGGCAATGGCAGGACTACTCGGGCGTGCAGCGGGCGCGCGTGGTCCTGCTGGACACCGCCATCGCCCAACTGGCCGAGGGCCAACCCATGAAAGCGACCGGGCTGGCGCTGACCTGCTCCGTCGACAACCACCTCATCCCCGGCACCCCGACCGACGCGCAGTTCTGGCTCGTGCCGGACTGGACGACGCTGCATCCGACGATCAGCCCGGGGAGCGCGCAGGTGCTGTGCTCGCTGGACTACACCCTGCCGGGGCAACCGATGACGCAGGCGCTGTGCCCGCGCCACACGCTCTCTCGGGTGCTCGAACAGGCCCAGACGCGATGGGACCTCTCTTTCCTCGTGGGATTTGAAGTCGAGTTCGTGATCATGAAGCCGCACCCCGAGACCGGCAGGCTGGAGCGCTACAGCCGGGGATGGGGACTGTTCTCGGTCGCGGGGCTGCGCGACCCGTGCTACACGCACGTCGAGCAGTGCGTGCTGCAGCTGCAGGCGCGCGGGGTCGACATCCAGGCGATCCACACCGAGGGCGTCCGCGGGCAGTACGAGTTCGCGCTGGGGCCGAAGCCGCCCCTGCAGGCGGTCGACCAGCTGCTGCTGGTGCACGGCTACCTGAAGGACACCTTCGCGCCGCTGGGGTGCGCCGTCACCATGGTCCCCAAGCCCGTGCCGGGCGACCCGCTGGCCAACGGCCAACACACCCATCTCTCGCTGCAGCCGAGCCCCGCGCCGGAACTCGAGGCGTCGTTCCTCGCGGGCATGCTGAAGCGGCTCCCCGCGCTGTCTGCGTTCTGTCTGCCCCAGGATGTCTCGTACGAGCGGCTCAAGCCGTTTGTCGGCGGCGCCGATGCCGTGGGCTGGGGCACCGAGTGTCGGCTCACGCCGGTCCGCAAGCTCGAGCCCGGCCGGTGGGAGATCCGCTGCGTCGACGCCATGGCCAATATGTATCTCACGCTGGCGGCGGTCATCGGGGCCGGGTTGCTGGGGTTGGAGGGCCGCGAGCCTCTGGTCTGGCCGGATCTGGGGGATCCGGTGAATGCGAACGCGGACCCCGGAGAGCCGCTGCCCAAGAGGCTGGAGGAGGCGCTGGACGTGCTGCACGCGGATGCGGACGGGCTGGCGAACGTGATCGGGAGGAAGATTATTGATCTGTATGTGGCGACGAAACGGTTCGAGGTGGCTTCGCTGGCGAAGTTAGATCCAGAGGAGGTGCGGGGGTTGTTCGCTGAGTTGTTCTAGATGACGCGGGCCGTCTTGTTCTCGAAGTTTATTCTAATGTAATGCTTGGGTTGTGCTGCTTGTGCTATTGTGGAAGTGGAGTGGTAAACAGGAGGTCGTCAGATGGCCGCACAACAATATATCAGTGCTATATAATGCTTCGATGTCCGTAATAAGTGTCCTGTCGTGCCCCCAATCAGCGCAATGATGCTAATATTCAGCCGAATGATGACTCTATATTGCCAATTCATCTATCCCCCCTCTTCTTGTTTTTTATTCTCGCATCTTTTGTACTCTCTTCACCCATCTGGGCTCGGCGGGGCTTGAGCCTTGGGCCCTCGGCTCATTTATACGTAGCTTGTTGAGACAAGGACTTGTAGCGAACCCGGCTGAGCAATAGCAAGTAACCAGCATCATTGGTCTAGTGGTAGAATTCATCGTTGCCATCGATGAGGCCCGTGTTCGATTCACGGATGATGCACTCACTTTTTCGTCTTTCTTTTTTGCTTCTTCCCGGAACACCGATCACCAGCCGTATAGATGCCCCCTTTTATCCCTGAGTATCCAACCCACCACTTCTTTGTGCATGCAGTCCCTGCAGTCCCCCGGGCGGCGAGAATCACCATCAAGCATGATCCACATTGCGTCCAAAGTCACTGGCAGCCTTTGTACATACAGTACATAGAGTACATACAGATACAGCACAAAAGTACCCCCCCCCCCCCCCCACAAACCGCCCTCCCCAGCAATAACTTGAACCTACACCACCAACTCCCACTCCACCTCCCCCGGCTCCTTCCAATACCGCGTCCCACTCCGCCGAAACCCCAACTTCTCCAACGCCCTCGCACTGCGCACATTCGGCCGCTCCGTCTCCGCAATGAACCTCCTCACGCCGCGCTCCGCCACCGCCCACCGCATCACCGCCGCCGCCGCCTCCGCCGCGATCCCCTTGCCCCATTGCTCCGGCGCCACCCCGTAGCGCACCTCGACCATCTCCTCCCACGGCGGAAGGGGCGGGTCCCCGGCCTCGCGGGCGGGGATCGAGGTCGTCGTGCCGTCGCGGACGCCGGCGTAGCCTACCCACTCGATTTGATCCAGATCGCTGGGTAGACTGGTGACGTCCTCGCCTGTTAAGATGGTGATGTCGGTGCTGGAGGTGGATTTCGCGGCTATGGGGATGGGGAGGGAGGAAGGACGTAACCCCACGGCGCAGTCACCCATCCCGCGGACGCGCCAGCAGCGCGCGATGTCGCGGGTTTGAATCACCTCTAGGGTCTCCGGGTCGGTCCATTGGCGCGCCGGGAAGTGGGCGCCGAAGCCCATGGTGCAGAAGTCGGGGTTGGCGTGGAGGGAGGCGTACAGTTTGCGGTAGGTGGGGGAGGAGATGGCGATTGGGGTGGGGAGGATTATGAGTCGGGGGGTCAGGATGGCGAAGGGGGTCCAGGGGTGGTTGGGTGGTTCTGGAGGGTTCATCGTGGGGTTGGATGGATGTATATCATCAGGTACTACTAGGTAGTTATGTAGGTACTGTGGTTGATGTAGGGTGCAGTGATGGAAAGAGGACTCGAAGACAGCCGCGGGCGGCTGGACAGGGCCAATGTTCTGGAACCCAGCCTGTTATGGATTAGCGGGGGTTCGGGGACGGGCCGGCCAACAAAGTGTCAGTGTCAGTGTCAGTGTCAGTGTTCACAGCCTAGGGGAAAGGGGAGGGGGAGTCTGTTTGCAGTCGGACTCTCATTGCACCCATGCCGCGCGTTCCGAGCCATCCATCAGGTCTTATTCGGCGTTGCAATCACCACCTCCCCCGCGATGACGTCAACAAGGCCAATGGCAGCGGAGATCCAGCCGGGGACATCAACCCATATTTTCACTTAAGGCAGCACGTTATCTGATTTACGTCATGCCCATGGATCTCCTCACGGGTATAAAGAATGCGTCGAATGGCAGATCGAACGCCTCGCTAGCCAAGAAATCTTAAGTCATCCCTACCATCAAACCAAAACTCTCAGCAGAACGATATCCACTACAACAACCCAGCCTCCACCATGTCAAGCTTCCTGCACAAAGCCGAAGACGCCCTGCATCTGCATCACAACAAGCACCCCTCCCAGGACCACGACCACCACCACGCTCAAGCACCCGAGCAACCACAGCAACACCACCACCACCCACAACAACAACCCCACGACCCCAGGGCCCCTGCGCCGCCAGCCGTAGCCCACGAAGGTTCGACATTCCATCCCCGTGCTCCTTTACTTACCCAACTAATCTTTTTTTTGGTTAATCCAGGCACCCACCACGACCACAGCCACCACGGCAAACGCGAGTCCCACCACCCCAGCCCCGCCGAGATCGCCCGCGCGGATTTCATGGCCGACCGGCAGTACGACCGGATCTTGAAGTCGCCGGACCACGGCGCGGGGATCGGGTTTGAGATGTGAGAATCTGGTCAGGACGAGATGTAGGAGGATTGGCCATCGGCAATGAAAGCGACTCTTTGAGTGTGGAAATATGAATAATGGATAATGAATGGAATTTGTTTCTTTGTGTTGTGATTGTATGCCCGGGTCTTGGCGGGGCAGGGGATTGGTTAGTAATCACTTTATTGGGGACAAGCTCCGCCAAGTCGGGATTTTTGGGCAGTCGGTAAGTTAGGGATGGTGGGGTGCATGCATTGCATTGTTGGCTTTGTTGTAGGGATGGCGTAGGGTAAGTGTTGATTTCTGGGATGTGGCTAGGTTAGATAGATGAGGTGCGTGGGCATCTGTGTTGGAGTGTTCAAGATACCATCTGCAATAGCACTATCCAAAAGACAACTAGTAAAAGGATAAAAGCTATGAAAAGAAAAGAAAAAAAAATCTCATTCTTAACTATACGTATGTACAGAGACACACAAATATGTACTGCAACGAAAATAAACAGACACCCAGTGTAGTTATCCGCATTCCCACACGTTTACTTCCCTCTTCCAGGGGAATCAAATTTCCAAGAACTTTTGAACCACCAATGCAAAAACTTTTCTCCGCTGGCGGCGTGCAATCCAGGCACGCTCCATAACCTTTGCGAGCCAGCCACCTCTTCCCACTATACCAACGCAGACACCCATCACACCCATCACAAACCTTACATCAACCTTCCTCACGGCAGACCCCCCACACGGCTGGATCAAATCAAATCCGAACGATACGCCCACAAATACTTCGCGATGGTGCGCCACCCCTCCTCCCCGGACCGGCGATTGTAGTCCAACCCCCTGGCCTCGAGGGTGGTCTCGGCCGCGCGCTCGGGGGTGCGCGCGAAGCCGCGGAACTGGGCGAGGATCTCGCGGATGCGGGGCGCGTCGGTCCGGGTGGAGAAGATGGTCTGCTCGTAGAGGCCGCGGAGCCCCAGCAGCAGGAGGCCGTGGCGCGGGTGGTGGGCGTAGAACTGGACCTTGTCGCCCTGGACGATGCCGGCGAAGGAGACGCGTGGGGCGCGGGCGTCGTGGCGCGGCCACCGCGACATCAGCATCGGCCAGTCGGTGCCCTTGAAGGCGCTCTGGCCCGCGATCAGCGTCAGGTGCGTCCCCGTGCTCGCGCTGTGCACCGTCAGCGTGTCGTACCCGCGCGCCTCGTACTGGCCCCCGTGCGCCAGCGAGTCGTGCACCACCGGGTCGTCCCGCTTCACCACGAACCCCTCGTGCACCGGGAAGTACTGCATCACGAGCGCCTGCCACGTGGACGGCGGGGAGGAGTGCTGCTGTCGGTACGGCCAGTAGCCGTAGTGCGGGGTCCGCGTGAGGCCGTAGCATTCCATTTGTGTCGGAACTGAAGGGCTAGGTTTGGGTTAGGGTTGGTGGTGGTTGTAGCGCAGGGCTAAGTGTATTGGTGGGAGGTAGTGTTAGCCTGAGAGAAGCAGTTCAGATAAGGGGGTCACCTTCTGTTTGCTTGTTCTTGTTCTTGTTCTTGTTCTTGGAATTTCGAGTTTATGATTGGATCGGTTGGGGCATAGGACTACCGTCACGGTGGGTTTACAAGGTTGTTCGTAAGCCATAAGCGTTGCGAGTAATGAGCTGATAAGTTGGCGGAAAGGGGAAGGGGCCGAAGGAGCTGGGCTCAATGAAATATTTATAAGTTTGGGTGGGACGGAGCCTGAAGAGTCTTCATTTACCTTTGATTGCATCGATTTTGAAGGCTTTGCAAGGCCTCGTGGTTGTGTGAACTGAGGCTTGTCGTGGCTTTGATATATAGAGGAGATCTCCGGTAATCGGCGCTGGGAGTGATAAAGCCTCTTTTAGGGTGGATCGAGGACAAAGATATTGTATGAATTAGCTGGTTAAGACAAGACTATCTTTAGTATCTTTTATTAGTTGTTATTGGTGGAATTACCCTGATTCAGAGTATGAAAACAGCGCCGACGGGGTCACTCGTGCTTTGCATGGGTGCTGGCCATGTGTGGAGGTTTGGAGGTGAGGGCGAGAGGGCTTCTTTGTTGCACTTCCCGTCTCCACCCACAACAATGCCATTGTTCATTATCCACGCTCCGCCTGGTCCATCGACGCCAAAGCATCTTTTATCAGCGCCTGTGTACTTCGCCGCACCAAGTGAACCCCGAAGCAGTTGATCGTATTTTTCCAAGAGGACCAGCGGGCCCGGTCAAAAGCCTTGGATTCCTCCGCCTCCGGCTCATCCACTTGATCCCCGGCCACGCAGGTATCCCACATGGGCTTTCCCGCCAGGGCGATCCAGAAGCAAGCGGCGCGGACCGCCTCTTCCTCCAGTGCGTTGACGTCGGCGTTCTCGAACGCGCGGGCGCACAGCCGGAGTCCCAACCGGGAGAAGTCCATGCGATGGCCGAGCCGCGGGATAGCGTTCGTCAGCTGGGCGATAAAGCAGTTGCGATTCTCCCACTCCTGCACCTCCTGCGGAGGATAGTCCCGGCAGTGATCCCCGCAGGGCGTGCGGTTCTGCATCCCCGTACACCGGCAAGTGGGGAACCCCTTGAACACGTCCAGCGGGGCGAACGTGTACCGGTGGTTGATGTATTCGCGGAGGCTGGGGAGATCGGTCCACATCCGGTCGGCGAACGCCACTCTCACGATGCCGCCGCGCCCGGCCGAGTCGTGCACCGCCGTCCGTTGCAGCTGCATGACCAGGTCCAGCAGCTTGGTCTGCTCGTCGGGAGGGAGGAGATAGGCGAGCTCGCACAGCGATTGCATCGTGTGGAATGCATGCTGCTGGTTGAGCCGGTTCCGCACGTAGGGCCGGTGGGTATTCCGCCCCTGCTGGAACTGGCTGTCGCGCTCCTGCAGGAGTTCCTGGACGGCCTCCTCCGCGGTCTTGTCGGGGTTGTTGACCAGCGCATGGATGATCCAGAACTCTCGGCGTTGGGTGAGCCGCCTTCCGAACCCGTACTCCCGGATTCGACCTGCCATGATACCGTCCATGATGTCAGTTGTAACAGAGGTTGGTGATTAGAGACTCAATGGGGGTGGATTACCTTGTGAAGTTGGGGAGGATGGTGGACTAAATTGTGGCAGCGGTGAGTGGCTTATATAGATGTCTCCATCCTCAATACCATCTATGCTGAGTAGACAAACTCAATACAAGGGATGGTGTATCTTTGTTGCTTGCAATCGATAGGAGAAGATCATCACTCTGTCAGGGACACCCTCTCAAAATGTATAAACAAAAGATATGTCACGTGCATTATACCTACTCGAGATCTTTGTACGGTGGAGGCTTGGCCATTTGGGCGTAGCCAGACCAACCATGGGTCAGAGCTGATGTTCATGATAGGACGCAGAAGGAAAACTGCTTGTGTCTGGGGCTGGAACTGAGTGAGAGGAGAAGCAGCAATCGTGAGATATCGTGTGGGGTTGCTATTGTGCACCACGTATTGTATTACAATGTTCAATGCTTGATCGACCATTTCTGTAACTAGCCACGGAGAAAACACGCTGTCTGCTACGTAGCCCCTTCAGAGCTCTAGGCACGTGGAATACACGATCTGTTAGCTCTGTGCTCACGCTCCACTGCGGGCTCGTCAGAATGGGACCCAGTATGACAGGCTGCAGCATTGGAGCGACTAAGGGACAACGTGGGACAATCCTCTTAAATGATCAACAAGACAAGGCATTAGCGTGGTTACCGGATCAATCCTCTGAACACCTAATGACGCACGGTCTTCTTCGCGGTTATGGCAGATACTCCGTTCTGACTACTGGTGTATGTCAGCCGTAGTCGAGTAACATTAACCTTGGATCAGTTGTCATGTCCTTGTCAGGTACTGGTTTTCACCTTGCCCAAATCACAAGGCGATCCTATTGATGGACTGTGAGCATTGGTCGATGCGACGGGACGAGGATTCAGGCACAAGTCACATTAGGGCTGAGACGGATAAACACTTGTGTGTAGCTTGCCGATGCCTTGGATACTTTGTATATGAGATTTAGACAGAATAATCCAATTCCCAATATGTGAGTGTCTCTATCACTTGGAAATATAAGTCTAGAGTCTGGAACCTCTAAGAGGAGGAGGACGAGAAACTGAAACTACGTCCATACTTAAATAGTGAGACTACCAAGTGGAAAGGCCTGGTGGTGTCAACGTCAATCAAGAGTTACAACCTTAACCCTCACCTTGAAAACCAGATTGCGAGCTAACTCCTATAGAATTTATACAACGTTGGAGGTATTTAGAAATGCAATAGATAAGTGCATTTTCACAACCATAAGTTGTATAGGATGGTTCCCCACTGTGGCCATGAGTATAACTCCCCGAGCCGTATCTAGGATAATGCCTTTCAGAAAGCCTGTAAAACAGGTATAGACACTTGTTGAGCAGAAATTGAGCCGAAAATTTGCCATATAAATCATGTAGCATGATAGGTACAAGAGTTTATAACCACATCTGATTTCCCATTCGTTAGTGCTTCCTTGGAGCGTAGAGAATTATCACGGAGAGTATCTGCACTTCAAATCAAGTAGTAGTAAGTAGGGGCAGGGGCGAAATTTGTCCAGTTCGGGTGAACCTTCCTACTAGTACAAATCAACCATGGAGCACTTGAGAAAACCCATGAGAAGTGAGATGGTGCAAAGCGTGAGTACCTTGGGAGAGCTGTTCATAGAACACGATTTAGGATGCAATTTACATCAGTACATAGTAGTTTGGTTGAGTTGCGCATTGAGGCTGTTCGCTCTTGCCAACCGAACTCATCCGATCCGGGCCAGCGGAATGACCACTTATTCTGTTGAGCCATGATACTTAGTACTGTACACTCGGAGCACAGAAGAGTGGATCGGGCACTCTACCTGCAGTGGATCGACACTGCCTAGCAACATTTATCTTTTTTTTTTCGATTTCTTTTTTTTCCAAAACCTATTCACTGTCGCGATCACGGAAATATCCATGCCCTGATAGCCACGGTCGCGATCAGAAGATGGTGATTCGAAGGGAGACGTCACCTCCCAGCCAGCCGGCGATATCCGGAGTGCATTCAGATGCAGCTCGAGGACCGAGCGACAGGGTGATCTGTAGTCAGGTTTTCAGGATAGCTCCCGCACTAGTCGAAGAAAAGGGCAAGAGGGTCGTAGATCGATAGCTCCTAGCTCCATGTCTGGCGTACGACAGCAGCTGAGGAGGAGAGATCGGAAAAGCAACAGCATCTTTCAGCTCCACAGCTCCCCCAGCGATTGTGCAGCACTGCAGCTCCTCAGCAATCCCAGCGTCCCAAACTGCGGCACAATTCGGGCGATCTCGCCTAAAGCTCGGTGGGGTGAGATCTTCCGACCGGGGCCAGGTTCATCTAGCAAGTAAATGAGACTTTTACCTATCCTGGACAATTCTCCACATACGATGTTGACCGATGGTAGACAGTGATGGGCAAAATGACAGCTTGCAATCCATGTTTTGTCATGGAACAGACGGGCCGATGCCGCAACGTACCGGATTTCATTACTAGCTCCAGATACAATGAACAGCGGTGAACACTGAGAACCTTCGATTGTGGATCCTAACCGAGCGTAAAAAAAAAAGAGAAGGAGAAAGAAGTCTGCCTCGGCAATCAGTGTCTTCCGAGAGCCTAGAGGTAAAGCTCAGCCTAGAATTATGGATATTTCTAGAGCTATGAGGACTGGGGAGAAGGTGAATATTTCCGAGCGAACCGCGCGAACCCCCCACCGATGATCTTCTTGGCTGCCCCCATCTCTTCCACAGCTAAAAATGATTTCCGATCTGATTTACGATACCGTCATCGTACCGTACTCGATTGTCCCTGTGTACGGCACGGTACTTTCCTTGGCCTGCATGTGTCTCCAAACTTCAGGAGATGGTGATGGTAGGGAGTGATGTAGGCATGCTACAATTGAATCTCACTTTCAAAATGAAATAAGACTTTCAATTAATGAATTCATAACATTGAATTGTGGAACACATTGAATTCCCTGGCTTCGACATGTGGCTGGTGTATGTACTTGAGCATTCTCAGGTGCCAGGAGCTCCAGTTGGAGTGATGCGACCCTTGGCGTAGATGAGATGCTCACCACCGGAGTGAGGGAAGGCAGTATTCACGAGCTGGTAGATATGATCCCATTTGATCATGGCATGGCAGACCTGGTTAATTGCAATTGGTGGTTAGCACACTGAGATCAGCCTGGATGCTTCATGGTTTTAGGGCTACTTACTCCCTTCTCAGGCTCCCCGCCGAAGCTCCTCCATCCCACTCCCAAGCAACGTGGATTCAAGGCACATGCTTCAGCACATTCCAGAATCGATTGGCGATACCACCAGATCTCTTCAACCGCTCCGTTGGTGCGGACATTACATTTGACCTGGAAATCCACCCCGCCAAGAGTAAACTGTCGTTGAGAACAGGTGCCATCGCAGAGACTTCTCCAGCTGTTGCTGCGACACTTCTCATCGACCGACAGCCACTGACCACCACCAGTGCCACTCCCCACCGACGAGGCCTTTTCTTCCAACTCCTTGATCTTCTGCTGGAGGCCTGCCTTTTCGGCGTCACACTGGGACTTGGACTGCTGCAGCTGGCTCTCGCCCTGCTTGCGGATCTCGTCCTTCTCCTTCTCACATTGAGAGGCGGCGGCGTCTTTCTCGGACTTGCATTGCGATCGAGCATCGTCCACCAATTTCTGAAGCTGATCCTTCTCCGTGGCACACTGAGCGTTGGCGTTGGTGAGAGCGCTGTCTTTATCAGCCTGGCACTGCTGTAGCTTGCTGTCACCCTGCTGGCGAATTTCATCCTTCTCTTTCTGGCACTGAGAGCTGGCAGCCTCCTTCTCAGACTTGCACTGCGCTTCTCCTTCCTGTCGAAGCTGCTCCTTCTCGGTCGCACATTGTTGGTTGGCGCCCGCGAGCGCTGCGGCCTTGTCGGCCTCGCATTGCTCTGCGCTGGCGGTGGCGCCGTTGGCGAGCTCGGCCTTCTCAGCTTCGCACTTGGCTTTCTCCTCCCCACGAACCTGCTCCTTCTCGGTCGTGCACTGCTCCAGCGCCGCGGTCTTGTCCGCCTCACATTGGGATGCCGCGGTGGCGGCCTGCTCTTTGAGTTGAGCTTTCTCGGCTTCGCATTGAGCCTTGGCCTCCGTGAGAGCGCTGGCCTTGTTGCTCTCACACTCCTTCTTCTGTTGTTCCTTCTCCGAGGCACACTGTGCAGCGGCAGTCTCTTTGGCCGCATCGATGAATTCCTTGCAATCCTCCTCCGGATCGGGATCCTCGGGGGTCTCCGCCGACTTGGTCAGGACCATCCAATCCCTTGCCGGCGAGTACGGAGCATAGTCGGTGTTTCCGCTGCCTAGCACGAAACACTTCTTCCCGGTGCTGTGCCAGGAGGCCCCGGGACAGTCCGGACTCGAACAGAGCTGTGCGCAGTCCTTGGCACTGTTCACCTGTCGGTGCTGCGTGCCCGCGCCACTTTTGCCGGTGAGATACTGACCGCAGGTGAACTCGAAGACGGAATCTCCCACGGTTCCTTTTCCGGAGCCTTGGCCTTCAGGACAGCAGAGCTGGTAGTTGGCCGCCCCGACCGTGTTGGAGGATAGACATTTGGAATTGGAGCCGCTGCTGGCCACTGTAGTGCCTAGCAAAGCGGCAAAAAGGGCGCCTTGAAATAGCATATCACCGTCACTCTTCTTGCACAGTAAGAGAGCACAGGTACAGAGTTGAATTTAGAGCAGAAGAAAGATAAGTTGGTTGTGGTAGGTCGGTAGGGTGTTCGGTGATTACTTTATAAGAACGGAGAAGACTATGTCATAGGCTGTGAAAGGTTGCACGCAATTTCACCAAAGCAAGGCTTTTCCAATTCAGCTTGACCTAAAATCCCATGGGTCTTCCTCTGCCATTAACCATCAGGAGGGCTGATAGCAGACTCCCGTCACATCCATACAATCATCAACAATACACGGACTTCTACAATACGTGTACTTCGGATGCTGATCCCTTGGAGATCTCCACAGCTACTGCACAAGTCACGGAGCAATGACCAAATTCGTCAGCTCAATCTAACCGAGGCGATCGATGCGCGCGGAGCATCTCGGGGGGGGGTTTGGCAGCCAAGCTAGTTTGATCAATCACAGTGAATCACTGTTCACTAATGAGGATTTTGGCTGGCGCTAAGGCAGGTTCGCTCCGCCCCGGCTTCGATTGACGCTCCACTCCCGTCCATTCAATACCACCAATACCTTGAATACCATCAGGATCATCGATACCCTGCAAACCACCCAAACTTGAGCTGCAGCATTTGAGCGATCACATCTGATTTAGCTTCCATCGTGTCGGGACTTTTTTCCTCCATGCTCGCCCTTCACTGTCGATCACAGATCACATCCTGACGCCCCGTCCCCACTCTGCCCTTTCCTCGAGAATGCTACTTCAAGCGGAGCTGACTTTAGTTCACCACTTCAGCTGAGCCCACAGCTATCCACTGCTCTTTTGGAGTTGGACTAGTTGATCGGTGTAGGATCTCATCGCTTTCACGCAGAGACAGATACATACACCGCCAGCTCCCCTTTCCTAGAACCGAAGTGATCGGCATCTGATCCACTGGACTGAGTGGCTCAAGCTGAAATGAAGCGGAGATGCAAATCCGATCAGTATTGGAACTGATTACTCCGTATCAGGCGCGGAGAAGCCAAAGAGAATCCGTCATCGCTGCGAGGAGAATCATGGTATAAATACCCTCACTGCCCGGTGGCTTCCTGCCTTTTATCATCCTCACCATCTCTTCTTTCCATCTCCAACTTCCTTTCCCACTACAGCCACGCATCATGGCTAAGTTGGGGTCTTTGTTGGCCGTTCTGGTGGCCCTGAGTGCTGCCCAGGTCCAGGCCAAGCTGCCCGGCAAGACCAAGTATACCCTGGACGACATCCGTCCTCTGCAGGACCCTGCCTCCGGCTTGGTCAAGTGTTGTCCTGAGGGAACCGAATTCGATGGCAAGAACTGTGTCTTGGGCGTTCCCAACTGCCCGGAGAACTTTGTTCGCAAGGGCGACAAGTGTGTGTCGACCATCAAGCCCATCTGTCCCGATGGCAGCGACTACAGCGGCAGCATCTGTGTCTCGACCGAGCTTCCCATCTGTCCTCCTCCCACCGTGCTGAAGGGCAAGACCTGTGTGACTGGCCCCCCAACCTGTCCCTCGGGGCAAGAGTACAACGGCAAAGTCTGTCAATCCACCCAAACCCCCGGCTGCCCGGAGAACTACAAGTTCAACGGCAAGTCCTGCGTCAGCACCAAGCAGCCCGAATGCCCTCACGGCATGATCACCTGCGGCGGCAACTGCATCAGCGTCCAGCCCCCCATCTGTCCCGCCGACACCGAATTCCACGACAACTTCAAGAACTGCGTCTCGACCATCCGTCCCACTTGCGAAGACGGCACCGTCCTCAACAAGGATGGCGTCTGTGTCGACGAGGCTGGTCCGTCGTGCCCCCCCGACACCAGCTTCAACCCCACCACCGGCAAGTGCGTCACCTCTGAGAAGCCCGCCTGCCCTCCCGGCAGTGAGCTCGACCCGGTGACCAAGAAGTGTGTCATGACCGAGGAAGCCACCTGTCCCCCGGGCAGCGACCTCTCCGCCGATTTCGCCTCCGGCACAGCCCGCTGCTGTCCCTCCGAGATGATCTGGGACGGCGAGGTCTGTGTCTTCGACACCGATGAGACCGGCAAGTGCCCCCCCGGCACGACCAAGGTGGGCCAGCACTGCCAGAAGCAGCCCGTGCGCATCCCGCAATGCCCGCCCGGCTCCAAGCTGGAGCGCAACCGCTGTGTCAGCATCGAGCAGCCCGAATGCCCTCCCGGCCACGTCCTCGAGGGCGGCGTCTGCACGTCGACCGAGCAGCCCGCCTGTCCCCCCGGCCTGACCCTCACCGGCAGCGTGTGTATCTCCACCGAGGAACCCAACTGCCTGCCCGGCACCCGCCTTGAGGGCACCATCTGCGTCAGCATCGAGCAGCCCGCCTGCGAGGACGGCTTCACCTTCGACGGCGAGAACTGCGTGTCCGAGCTGCAGCCCACCTGCACGGAGGAGGGCAGCACCTTCGACGGCGAGGAGTGCGTGACGCCGCACTTCCCCTCGTGCCCGGAGGACACGGTCTTCGACGGCGCCCGCTGCGTGGCTACCAGCACCCCCTCGTGTCCCGCGGGCAGCGTCCCCAACGGCTCCGGCGACTGCGTCACCACCAGCGTGCCCAAGTGCCCCGCGGGCTCGACCCTGACCGCCACGGGCGGCTGCATCGTCGGCGTGCCCACGTGCCCCAAGGGCACCCTCTTCGACGGCAAGCAGTGCGTCTCGCGCAAGAACCCGGGCTGCCCCGCGGACCACAAGTGGGTAAACGGCCGCTGCATCAGCACCGTGCCCCTGGAGTGCAACGAGCCCGGCTACCACCTCGTCGACGGCGAGTGCGTCTCCGAGAACCGGCCCGAGTGCCCCGCCGGCACCAGCTTCGACGGCACCACCTGCGTCGGCACCGAGCCCCTCTGCGACGACGGCCTGGTCTTCGACGGCGAGGAGTGCGCCCACCCCTTCGAGCCCGAGTGTCCCCCCGGCATGCGCTTCAACGGCCGCAAGTGCGTCGCCGAGAAGCTGCCCAACTGCCTGCCCGGCACCGTCTTCGTCCCTGAGTCCAAGCTGTGCGTCGCCATCTCCCCGCCCGCCTGCCCCCCTGGCCAGGTGTTCAACGGCAAGCAGTGCGCCCTCGAGAGTGGCGACTGTCTGAACTTCGAGTACTGCCCCCCGACCGGCTTTGGGGAGCCCAACTGCGTCGAAGGGACGCTTTATGATCGTCACACCGGCATGTGTGCCGACTGGTTGTATTAGCTTAGGGTGCTTTGATATGTGATGCATGGTTTATGTGGCAGGGATTTTGGGAAAGGTGTTGTAATCGAGTGTTTTGTTTAATGTGCAATTTGAATATCTGCATTTGTGCCGCTAGTGGATCAAGTAAAACGTAGGATCGTGTGCATGTAGGTAGGGCTGTACTTCGGGGCGGAGTGCCGCGCTGTTTGGGGAGAACCTTTCGGAGAACAAAACCAAGTGGGTGGATTCTTGATTCTTTCGCGTCAAGCAAGCTAAATACACTGCATGGTATACTAGTTTCCATTTGATTCACGTCTGTGTAATAGGCCAGCAATTCACCTCGATGACCCCTTCCTAAAGAGAGCCATTACTCAAGTCCCGAAGACACGCAAAGTACTGCTCAAATTGTCTCTGCGAACAAATCAATAGCGAAAAGACCGTCACCTGAGAGTCTAGTCTGCTGAGTGACGGAGAAGGACTTAGGGCTGGACTGGAATGATGTCAGTCCAGTGCCGACGAGTAACTCGCTTGGCCGCTGGTGAATAGTGTACTGTACGTTTTCCGGTCGGTACTTTGGGCAGCGACATATGGAAACCATAAGGGTAGTGTGATATGGAGAAGCGCACTGGATTAGAACTCATGAAGCCAACAAGCCAGGTACAGTATACTGTACACACTGTACACCGGTAACAGATCGGCGGGACGAAGTAAATTGCATTGAATAAATCACGAACTGCATACACTGCCAGACAAACGGGCGCACGGACGCCAAGAGCCAATGCTATACTCGAGTGACGGGGACGTCGAGAGCGTGCTCATGATGTCAATCCGGTTGACAAGGTTTCTCGCTCCATTGATGCAAAATAGGATCCAACCCGTTTTCAGATAGCCACCGATGCAATCTCATGAGGGGATGGTGGGACAATTGCATCCATAACTGTGTATTATCCAGAAGGGAGTATTCAGTCATGGCGCGTGGAAACGTCCTGACCAAGATCGAAATTTACGGCAACGGCCCAGCTCATCTCACGCACGCCATAGTCACCACCAACTCAAAAGATATCGAGCGATCTAGAATCCATTGCTCAATCTGGGCAGGGGCGCATTTCCGCGTCCATGGGACGGTTTCGCTCTTGATGCTACGACCATTGGCCGGCTGAATACTCCGGTGGGGGCAGCGGGCCGAGGATCCTTGTCACTGCCACGCTTATCTGGGCGGCAGCCCGCTCTTCAGACACGCGAAGGATCCCTGGTTCCGGCATTCAGTAATCTTGGGTCTGGTCGGAAATGCTGTTCCGCGAGGAAGGCTATTAGGGATTGAGTTTAGATCGATGGGGAGCTGTTGGTGGTGACGTATTGAACACCTGAGCTGGTGGTAGTGATGGGATTTTACGAACCGTATGCGAAACCCTAAGCTCGGTGGGCTATATCCACATATACGATACCAGCTTGAACCCTTTCAGACGATGAATTATGATTCTAACTCAATTCATACATCCATCCAAATCAATCCTCACCAATAGCGCCCACCTCCCTCGCAATCTCGACCATCCCCCCCAACACCTCCTTCTCCGCGGCGCTGAAACTCCCGGCATGATCCGCCGCCAGACAGCAGACGTTATTCTGCTGCAGCTTCCACGCACCCACGGCCGTCGCATCCGGCGGTTCCGTGATGAACGCCTCGAACGCCGTCGGCTGCTGGCGCGGGTCGTCCGAGTACTTGTTCGGGAGCAACCACCCGTTGAACCACAGCGGGCGTCCGTCAGTCCCCAGGTGCAGCAGCTGCGGCGCGCATATGCTGAACCGGGGGTCTTCGGGGCTCCCACTCTCCGAATCATCCCCAGCTGCATCCACCGTCTCATTCTCAGCTGCTGCCCGTGCGCGGTTCACCCGCGCCGTGCCCATGACCGCCGCCGCGCCCTCATGGAACGCGTAATCCGTATCCCCTACGAGCTCCCAGCCCAGCCAGAAGGTTTCCTTATCGCCTGTTCACTCCGTTAGCCAAGCCAATTCCACACCCGTAGCCCCCTCAACATAGACAGAGGCAACCGAGGAAGAGAGAGAGAAAGAAAGACAAACCGTAAACCATATCATAAACGCCGACCTTGCCAGTAGCCGTATCACCATCGCGATCCGGCCCATTCAGCCGCGTCACCAGCAGCAACGCCACGAAATGCCGCCACTTGTCGACGACCACCACGCCGGACTCCTGCATGTGGATGCTCTGGCCCGTCCACATGCGGCTGCGGCGCGCCGCCCGCGACAACGGCGCCGGCAGCACCTGCCGCAGCCACGCGCGCTTCTCCCCGGGCATAAGCAGCCGGTCCTTGAAGAAGAGGGCCCCTGTCTCGATGTAGCCTGGGTCGTTGAACAGGTCAGCAGGGTTGGTGATGAACAGTGCGTCCGCGTCGATAAAGATCGCTTCGCGGAAGCTAGAGAGGAGAATGGCAAAGGGCTTGGCGGCCCAGCCGCGCAGCGTCCAGCCTTCGTCCTGCACCATTGGTGACAGGTCGCGTGTGATAACGCCGGGGATGGCTTCGAGGGCGTCGCGGGCATCTTCGCCGAGGTCGTCGTCGCCTAAGTACATGACTTCCACCGGGAGAGTACAGCCTTGTCGGCGCAGGGATTGCAGGGAGGTTAGGACGTAGGGTGCTTGTTTGTCACCCGCGGTTAGGACGAGGCCTCTCCCGCCGTTGTGGAATTGCGTGTGTAGGGTGGCGTGCGAGGGGAAGTAAGGGGTTGTCCAGTCGAAGAGGCGGGTGGAGAGCTGGGTGTAGAAGGTCCGGAGGGTCTCGTAGCTGTGCATTAGAGTGGGGGTGTCGGTGTGGAGGTCGTGTGCGACGGCGGGGTCATTCTGGAGGAGCTGCAGGATGTCATCGCGGGTGAGGGGGCCTGTGGCTGTCGGGATGAGGTGGACGGCTTCCCAGGCGTCGAAAAGGGAGCGGAAGGCCCGGGCCCGCAGGCCGAGCTCGTGGAGTTTGGCTTCGCCGGTGCTGGTGATGGGGCTGACGAGGCCTTGCGCCTGGGATGAGTTGGGGAAGAGGGAGAGGAGGTGGGAGAGGTTCTTGGTGAAATTCGTGCGGTCGAAGTTGGGGGGGGTGTTGCTGGGGGGAGGTGGGTTGTGTAGGGCTAGTGGGTTTTGAGAGTGGGTGTCTGTGATTACAGCGCTTGGGTCTTCTCGTTTATAGAGAGGAGGCGTACAGAGCCCTGCATGGTGGTACTCGATGGTGAGCAGGGTTGCTTTGAAGCAGTATCCTATGAGAAGAACGAGGAGCAGCGCCCTCGACAGGATTGACCCCCGTCGGGTCTGGTTGGGGAAGTGCGAGAGAGTATACATTGAACAGAGATTGTGCGGCCGTGAGTAAGAGCCAGGTGATGGGCGTTGAGGATGGAACACACGCTGACTATCGGAAAAGATTCTTATAGCATATACCTTGGAATTGGTCCAGACTCAAGAGCAACCGCCCTTGTCCAGAGCATGGTCTTGACGTCGAAGATTGTCGTATTCATGTGGGACCACGTCCTCGTTCTTCAGTGTTCCCTTCCCGGTCTAGATTGTTGCGCGAATTCTGCCTCAAGAGAACAAAGAAACTGAGTCGGAACCAGACGGTCATTTGATTTCGTCAAGAATAGCGCGAATCCTCGTCTCGAGAGGGTGGAGCGTGTGGATATGGTTCTCAGAGCTCAGGTCAACTCTGAACCCTGGAGCCGAATTCTGTGAGCAGCATGACAGCACTTCTGACCGAATTGGCATTCGAACCAATCTTCTGGCTGAAGGCTAGAACTCTTGTGCGAGATTGAGCTCTGGTATTCAGTGCTTGAAAGAAAGCCAATTGTTCTTGCCACTGATCCTGACAGTCAATGGGTTGGTCTACTACTGATGACACAAAGATACCCACAAGGGAGAGAGAGAAAAGAATAGGACAGAGACCTGTTAGATAAACGCAGCAAGTTAAATGCATACGAGCAGGAGCGTTGTGAGGTCATCACTTGTGTCAGTCTGTCGCTTTGCGGCCACTGCATATGCAGGCGGAATCGTCTATATAAGACTCCTCTGCACTGGAGGTTCATCCCCCTGTGTGAGAAGCAATCGAACTGCCTTATAGCTTCTCTTGATAAGCCTTTCCAATATGAAAGTCTACATCAAGTTGATGCTCAGCTTTGCTGTGCTGAACCTCTTGTCCACTCTTGTTACTGCAGGCCCAGAAAAATGGATGCCCCGAGCCCGCTACAAGAGACATTCCATCTTCCCGCGACAATCGTCTACACCGACGGGCGTGAATCCCACAGACTCCTCGTTTTTCATTGGCCAGGTGGACTACGGAACAGATGTGTCGCTCCAGATCTCGGGTTCCAATCTCATTGTCAACTACCCAGTGACCAAGGATTTCATTTACACCGACGTCCATGTCTGGATTGGTACTGGAACGGCCCCAGGTAATCCTGGTGGATACCCGTACACGCTGGGGAATGGGGCTTGCACTCTAAACGGTGGAGCAACAAGTGCGACTTGCACTATCCCAATCTCTGGCATCACAACCAAGTGTGACACAACGACAAAATACAATATTGTGACTCATGCCTCCGTCAAATCCCCAACCCTTGGAGATCAAACTGGAACTGCTGGTCAAGACACGTTTCAAAACAACTGGTGGAAGTGGTTCCACTTTACATTTGAATGCTCGCCAACAACAACTACGGCTACAACTACAACTACAAAGCCTCCAGTCACAACAACTACTACAAAGCCTCCTGTGACAACAACAACTACCACCAAGCCGCCAGTCACAACAACCACCACCACTAAGGAGCCTCCCTATACAACCACAACTACCACTAAGGAGCCTCCCTATACAACCACTACTAC